GATGGGCAACGAGACTTCAGCTTCGAAAATGTCGTCACGTGTGTGGATTCTGCCAACTATTAATTTCAGTCCACAGGTTTCTGATTTTATATATTTATTCAGAGAGTGCACACGAGCAAGAAGGAGAGGAGCAGAGGGAGAGGGAGAATCTTAAGCAGGCTCCACACTCAGCACGGAGCCCAACACGGGACTCGATCCCACGACCATGATCATGACCATGACCTGAGCTGAAATCAAGAGGAGGGCGCTTAACTGACTGAGCCACCCCATCGCCCCGACAAGTTTCTGATTTCAATTTAACGTATTCACTGCTTGAAGGGCACTTATGGGATTCTGCTAGATTCTTCTGTTGAAGTCTGTCCTTCCGTATCATTACATCGTCGGTTAGGTGACCGCTGCAGGCCCTCAGTTATGCAGTGAAACGGGTTTGAAATGTTTAGAACACACTGGATTTCAAAGCTCCGGTATGAGGTTAGAAATCATGTCCATTTCAGGCTTCTGTGAGAATGGAGATCTCGCTGCCGCTTTTGGTGTTGACGGCACAGAAAGCGAGCTGCCGCGACTTGTGGTTCAGACAACGTCCGCCTTTGCCAAAGTCACTAACATAGCATAGGTTTTGCACAAGAGTTCTGTTTTGCCTTACAATTTCAGGTTGAATTCCCTGAGAGTCACTATCAACAACGCAGCAAAAAGGCTGATTACTGTAGAACGCAGTAATAGTGGTCGAGGGCAATTTTTCTCATAAAGAAGAAATTCGGTCTGGGCTCTGAACTGAAAGTGGTGGTTAAGTCCATGGAGGGACCGTTAGGTTTACTGTTGACACTGTTAATTCAGGCACACCCTAGAGATTTTTTGGGGGGCGGGAGGCAAAGTGCCTGCTGGTCCAGAGGAGAGCCTTGAACACCTAACTTTTCACGGGCTTCGCAAATCTGCCACGTGCTCGTCTCCCACCAGCAGTTGCAGCGTCTTTGCCGATCGCACCTGGGCTTGGACCCAGTCGGTGTGTCCTCGGTGGCCGTGGACATGCTGTCGGTTGTTGCTTGAGGACCCCTTTAGAGTCACTTCGGACTCGGCCTCGGCTCCCACCACGCTGTGGGCGGCATCTGTGACCCCCAGCACCCAAGAAGGCGGCTCGCTCAAACTTCGGCCTTGTTTTTCAACTGCTTGCTGACCGCACCTCTGGCGTCCAGACCCCTCGAGCAGCTGTCCTCACCGAAAGGCTGCCCTGCGCGGAATGGGGTCGGAACGTGTTTCCTGGCCACATGCGGCTCTCCCTGCGTAGCCATCGGAGGCGGCCCGGGCAACCTATGTGCTCGCAGCCTCGCCAGCGTCTCCTCTGTAAGGCTGTGTCATGCGCTTCTGTTTTCAGTTGTCTGTATTTTTCTGACCGTCGCTGTCCCATGCATCGGGGACAGCATTGCGATGACCACTCGGTCAGGTCGTGACAACCTCTGCCGGCATCTTCAGCGGAGCCGAGGTGTCATTGTGCACCAACACCTCTTTGCCGTCCGGAGATGCACTCCACCATATCCCCCGAGCACGAAGGGCTCGCTACCCTTGTCTTCGCAGGATGTGTGACCTGACAGGAGAGTAAGGGGCGCCTGGGGGCTCAGTCGGTTAAGCGTCCGACTTCGGCTCAGGTCATGATCTCACGGTTCATGGGCTCAAGCCCCACGTCGGGCTCTGTGCTGACAGCTCAGAGCCTGGAGCCTGTTTCAGATCCTGTGTCTCCCCCTCTCTCTGCCCCTTCCCCGGTCACTGTCTCTCTCTCTGTCCCTCTCCTGCTCATGTTTAGTCTCTCTCAAATATAAATAAACATTAAAAAATTAAAAACTAAGGCGTGCGGCACAGGGACATGTGTGGCACTCAGAATACCGCCGTGTGATGCTCTGCAGCGCGCCGAGCAGGGACGTAGGCAGGTGAGACGCCCGCACCACAGGCCGTGTCGCCCATGCCAGGCTCTGCGGGTGCAGCTGGTCACCTGCCTCAGCAGGACACAAACAAGGGACCGCAGCCGTGTGTGGCACGGCTTTACTTCTGGACAGTGAAATCTGCATTTCATACAATTTTCATGCGTCATGAAATATCCCTTGGACTTTTCCACCCTGCTATTTAAAAATGAAAAAACCATTGTTAGTTCACGGGCCGGACGGACACAGGCGGGGACCTGGATGGAATCGGCCCAGCGGCTGCATTTGCGGACACCTGATCCGGATTCCTGTGGCCGTCACAGGCCGAGACTGCTTTCGGTTTCGGCTTTTGAAGGCTCTAGCTGGAGGGGCCCCCGGGTGGCTCAGTCAGTTAAAAAGGTGCTAGCAGCCATTTGCTGGGTGTTCACCATTCAGCCCTGAACTTGAAACTGAATTGGGAGAAATGAATCAGAAGTTTGGTGTGTGTGATTCTCCTATAGAAAGTCTACCTCTTCCTCGTACACCCTGCAGGGAGAGGTCTGCACGCTTGTAGCCCGTTTGCTCAGAGCTGCCTGGGTGAGTTGACACCGTGTTTATCTACAGTGTAGACACTTGTGCCGTATAGCCCGGCAGTCTGCCTCACGCCTTACCTTTTAGTACCTCTTCTGTATGTTTCCACACTTCTCTCTTTCCCTTTGGGATCCTGCGTCCCTGTTCCCCTGCGTTGAACTTGGCGGGGGTTTTGTGCAGCTCGCCAGTTTCAGTCTCTCGTGAGCTGAGGACTCCCCATTTTCTCAGACGTCTTTCTAAACCAAGTCCAGTCCCAGCGTCCCCCCGAGTTCTTTTCCTGCTTTTTTTTTTTTTTTTTGAGAGACAGAGTGTGAACGGGGTGAGAGGGCAGAGAGAGAGGGAGACACAGAATCGGAAGCAGCTCCAGGCCCGATGCGGGGCTCAAACTCATGGACTGTGAGATCATGACCTGAGCCTAAGTCGGCCGCTTAACCGACTGAGCCACCAAGGTGCTCCTCCCTGCTCTTTTTTTCCCATAGTTCTTCAAACTCGGAATTGTAGCCCTGTGTCCTGCAGTTTGCCTCCTGGGAACCTCCCTGAGACCAGCACTCCCAGGGACGTCTCCCCTCACCTTGTCAGCCCGTGACCCTTCTCTGCTTCCCCACGGCTAGAGAACCATTCCCCTAGGCTGACGTCGGCGAGGGGGCTGCGCGCCCCCACCGCTCCCACGTCTGGGCGCTCGGGGGTAGAGTGAGAACCGTTTCGTCCTCTGCATTGATTGTGACCCTCCGTCTGCCCTGGCTGAGGAATGGGGAGGGGGGAGGGCACAATGACCCCAATGCCAGATCACAGCCAGTCAAAACTTCTGCCTGTCTTTAAAGGCACCCACGCGATGGGGCGCCTGGGTGGCTTAGTTGGTTAAGCGTCCGACTTTCACTTGGGTCATGATCTCGCGGTTCGTGGGTTCGAGCCCAGCGTTGGGCTCTGTGCTGACTGCCAGCTCAGAGCCTGGAGGCTGTTTCAGTCTGTGACTCCCTCTCTCTCTGACCCTCCCCTGCTCACGCTGTCTCTCTCTCTCTCCTAAAAAAAATAAAATAAATAAAATAAAGGCACCCACGCTGCTCCAAGACACGTACACTTACCCGGTCAAAACCAGACCCGTCGCCCAGGCGTGATCATGTGTCCACGACGCACAAAGAGATGGCAGAGATTCCCTCTTCTTTTTGAGATGCTTGTCAACACCAGTGTAGAGCCAAGCAACTACCTCGCTGATGACATCACGGCCAGATGGCCACTTAAATTCAACCAGTGCTTTGCCCTAAACCCGTAGGAGGTCTGCTTGGGGAGAACTGGCCTGAACAAGCTGAGAAGCTTGAAGACCTCCTCTGAGCGCATGGCTGTCCTCCCGGGGACCTGAGCGAGGCTGTCCTCGGGGTGGCCAGAGCTGTGCCATGGGCTGCTCCTCCTCCTGTTAATAATCAATTCCATTCCCACCCTCGAGGAGATGGCCAGAAAGGAAGCGAATAATAAACTTTCAGGTCCTCCCCATTTTACGGTATAATTTGCGTGGGACAAAATTCACTCATTTTTAGTCTGTGGTTTGGTCAGTTTTGAGAATTCTGCACAATGTGTCATCACCACCACGATCAAGATACAGAGTGACTGCGTCCCCTCCAATGGCCCTGTGCCTCTTCGAAGCGAATGCCCTCCCCTGACGCCAGCTGTGCCTTTTCTAGAATGTCCTGAGTCTGCTTCAGTCTCTTTCCTTAAGAGATGGCTATTCAAGCTGGCGATCAGCTTCCTGGGTCAGCTTTGGCCACCTGTGTCTTTGAAGGATTTTGTGTGCATTGTCCAGATTGTCACATTTATTGGCATAAAGTTGTAGATGGTAGTTCTTTCTTACCTCTTAAAGCCCGTGGAACATGTAGCGAGAACCCCTTTCGGTGTGTTACGTATTGATGTTACAGATGGAATTCAGACTGCAGTATGGCCTCCTCTGTTCCTCATAAGGGTCACTCCCCTGTCCTTACATTCCCTCTCCCTAAACTTGGAGTAGTGTGGTGGAACAGAAGAACGTGACCTTGGAATTACCTGGGTTTACACCCGAGCTCTATGACCTTGAGCAGATTGCGTACCCGCTGTGAGTCAGTCTCGTGTATAACGGTGTTTCCTGTGTGGGTGTCTCTGTGTGCTGTGAGTGAGGTGTGAGCAGTGAATACAGCCACTGTGCTGATCGGTGACATGGTGGTGTCCCCACATCACATTGCTCACTCTAGAGTGAGGGAGGATCGTGCACATTCAGAGAGCCTCCGGAAGCCTTGAGTTCTCTCTCCGTGTGTCTGTTTCCCACTTTGTATCATTCGAATCCTGCATTTGTGCACTGTGATGAACACTGGGTTAATTCTTGGTCGAGAAAGTCTTCTTTGAACGTGCTAAGTGAGTACCAGTAGTGCTGATGGTGACTTCTGTACAAGGAAGCAAGATTTAAAACCCAAAATTTAAAAGAGCATTGCAGAATGCTATTCTTTACCATTTGGTCTGTGTTTTCTTTAAATTTGTTTCTGTTTTCTGTTTCCTAAGGTCCTTGATTTTCCCACTTCTGATCCGAGGAGGAAAGCCAGTGCCCCTGTATGTATGCACGTTGGCGTTCATGTTCTGTACCTATAACGGCTACTTGCAAAGCAGATACCTGAGTCAGTATGCGGTATATGCGGACGACTGGGTCACAGACCCCCGGTTTCTAGTAGGTGAGTGTCACCCCCGTGATGCACTCCGTTGTTCTAGTCATAACTCGTATTTTCACGTCCCTAGATAGAAAGCCCACGCTTGGCGAGAGAGAAAAGAGTCTGTGAAGGTCCCTGACCTCGCGGCAGGGAGGCCGAGCGCCCGGGGGGGAGTCAGACAGTCCCAGCAGCAGCGCACGATACGGGTGCCTGGCGCCATCGCCCAGCGGCACTGAAAGCACAGATACCTGTTCCTGAAGCCGGCCTAAAAGTTGCAGCGGCCTCCAGCAGAGAGAACAGCAGACTACGACTGTGGAGCGTGGACACTAACTGGCCGTGTCACCCAACAGTGTCACGAAGCCTCGTGCAGTTTCCTCTGGAACCCAAGAAAAAGTCTGACTGGGTCACCATCCAACAGGGCACCCCTCAGTCAAGAGTTTTCCTTCTTTCTTTCTTTCTTTCTTTCTTTCTTTCTTTCTTTCTTTCTTTCTTTCTTTCTTTCTTTCTTTTTCTTTCTCTCCTTCCTTCCTTCCTTCTTTCCTTTTCTTTTCTTTCTTTTTTTATTTATTTCTGAGAGAGAGAGAGACAGTGTGAGCAGGGGAGGGTCAGAGAGAGAGGGAGACACAGAATCTGAAGCAGCTCCAGTCTCTGAGCTGTCAGCACAGAGCCCAACACGGGGCTCCAACCCATGAACCGTGAGATCATGACCTGAACCGAAGTCAGACACCCAACCAACTGAGCCACTCAGACACCCCTGAGTTTTCTGATTATACTAACTTGAATCAACTCAGAGGTCCGTGAAGTTTTCAATTTTTTAAACTTGTTATCAGTGAACGTCAGTCACCGTACATGTTCAAGCTCTAATTATAACTTCATAAGCTCTGAGCAAAAAGGAAAATAAAACAGCAGAGCAGTCAAAAATATTTGCAAGCGTGTGCAAACCTACGTCTCCTCGAGGCCCTTGTTTATAAGGAGATTGCTTCTCAGTTTCAGCGCGCCCCAGGGCCCCCGGCTTCAGCTCCGTAACAGGGCCTGCCCCCCACGGTAGGCGTCTCTCTCTGTGACCTTGTCTGATCATGGAGAGCCTCGCGCTGCAGCGCTGCTTTGCCATTGACCAGGCGTATTCTTTCCGTGAGTTGAAATTCTCACTCAGCATGCCTGGGCATCATGGCCGCAGGGCGCGTGCCCCCTCCGCCACCAGACAGGATGGGCGAGAGAGTCCTCAAGGGGCTCGGCAACTCTGCAAGCCTGCGCCTCCCCAAAACGCCAGACCCAGCCTGCGTTGTGGGTGCAGGGCCCCCAGATACCTGCCTGACCGGCCCGCCATTTCACCACCTGATTTCCTTCTGCCCTGACCAGCAAGAGGAGGAGGAAGGATGGGCTGTAGTCACCCTGTGGAGACGATCCTGTCCTCTGCTAGGAGCCACCCACGTGCTTCCCGCCACCCCACGTTCCTGGAAGGGCAGAGATTAGGGTCCTGGCACATGCGCAGGGAAGATCCGGTGGCTAAACACCTGCTCAGGGTCTAAACCCAGTAAATAGCAGGGCCCAGTCTTCACCCATGTCACCGCACTGGTGCCCCAGGAGCAGGTGGTGAGGGGCAAGGGGAAGGGGCTTCCTAACGAAGGGGTACAGGCTTTAAATGTTTATTTGAGTTTCTCCACAAGTCATTTCTGAGATGAATTGTTTGGCTACTTCAAACAACAAAAAAACAAAGACTCCTCTTGGTATGTGAACTTCAGGGTCCTTTCAAGCAGCGGGGCAGACAGACCCCATGCTCTGCTGCTGTCCCCGAAGCTGGTCTGAAATCAACAGACCCCACTAAATTGTATACAAACCTCTCATTCACTACCGTTGAACAGAAGGCGTCAGAAAGGAAAGAAATACCAGTTGGGAACCAAGTGAGGTTGGTTTTTTGGTATTAAATATATTTCGTAGAGTTTATAGTTTTTGTAAGGAGATTAATGTAAAGTGATAGGAATATTTAACTGCATTTATGATTCTTCCCATGAAGAGCTAAGCAAATAGTAATAACAGTAATGTCCTAACAAAACGCTTTCAGAGCAGTGGAAGTCGTACCAAGACGTTATGATTCTTATAAACAGAATTATTATTTTTTATAACTTATTTTTAATCTTTATTTATATTTGAGAAAGAGAGAGAGAGAGAGACAGTGCACCAGCAGGGGAGGAGCAGAGAGAAAGGGAGACACAGAATCTGAAGCAGGATCCAGGCTCCGAGCTGTCAGCACAGAGCCTGACGTGGGGCTCGAACTCAGGAGACATGAGATCATGACCAGCTGAGCCCCCCAGGTGTCTCCCTAAAAACAGAATTAAATGTGTAGCTTAGAGGAGCACAAATACCAGCTTTCTTACCAACCCAGGCAATAAAGGGAGCTTTCCTCTGAGATAAGACATAAAGTCAAACATGGAATTTTGAGAACATGATTCTTTCTGGAACCACAAATTTGGGGTCAAATCACCTAGAGGTGACATACTGAAATGCAAAACAGGTTTCAAATCAGCTACAAATATATGGATCTAATAAGTGACTCATAAAACATATTGCAAAATTTGGTATAAACTATATAGGAAAAACCTGCCTACAGTTGGTGAAATGGGAAGGAAGAACCCTTGAAACCCTTGCTGTGGACCAGAATGCGTCACATGCCCATGTTGTAACAGTGACAAATGATTCCACTCCACTAGGGTGACCGGGAAGTCATTACTGACCAGGTCACTCCAGTTGTATGTTCCTTTGACCTTGAACCAAATGCTGCCGACAAGCACCGCCTGACCTTTGCATTTCTCTAACATCAGAGGATGAGCACACGAACTCAATCTATTCCTTTTATAAAACACCATTTGGGCCTTTTGCCTCTTCTTTTGGAATGAAGACACATGATACTAATAAATCTCCTTTTTAAGTGATGAAAAATCTCTGAAGACTTTTCGGAGGCTGCGAGGAAGCTTCCAGGAGGCCGCGGGATGCCTGGGGAGAGCCGTGCAGCCAGCAGCCAAGGTTGCTGTCGGGAGCCAGGGCACGTGGGCAGATGGGGGGGGAGGTGTGACTGGCGATCGGGTGGGAGGTGGGTGGTGGGCGGGGCCGTGGATGTGCAGGACCGGTCCCAACAAGGCTGTAGAGGAGCGCCAGAGGTGAGCTACCAGGAACCGCCCCCACCCCCAGCCCGTGCACAGCTAGCCCGTCGTGGGGTGGCATGTGCCACGTGGAGAGGCCAGCCACGCCTCTCATGGTCTCCCTGAGGACTGAGTGAATCTTGTGGGCCGCCCCACAGATGGTGATGCTGCCTCTCCCTGGAAAGGAGCCCTGGGCCAGGGTCCTGAGCCATGTTTCCAAGCATACCAGTCATCCTGAGAACGTAGACTCAGGCTACAAGGTCCAAGTATTTTGGGCAGGTTAGATAAATTGGTAGTTGTGCTAGAAAAACAGCTCTCAGGACGCCTGGATGGCTCCGTCGGTTGAGTATCCCAACTTCAGCTCAGGTCATGATCTCACTGTTCATGAGTTCGAGTCCCTCATCAGGCTCTGTGCTGACAGCTCAGAGCCTGGAGGCTGCTTCCGATTCTGTGTCTCCCTCTCTCTTTGCCCCTCCCCCGCTCGTGCTTGGTTTCTCCCTGTCTCTCAAAAATAAATAAATGAATGCTAAAAAAGAAAAACAGAGCTCTATTCAGCATACCTAAAGGCAGCGTTTTATAAATTATTTTTATAAATAAAACATCATATTACGATGACTTTTTACTATCGGTTGTGGCTAACGCAGTTTACTAAATGAGCAGAACAGATTACAGTGACATCGGTCACTCGGGCTTGGCCTCGTGAGTTCCCTGACCATAACCCTCTCCTGCATCTTCTCTTCCTCAGGTTGCTGCGTGTGGTTGGTGGGGATGGTGCTCAACATCCATTCAGACCACATCCTGCGGAATCTCCGGAAACCAGGGGAGACCGGATATAAAATTCCACGGGGTATGTCCTGAAAAATGGAGAACGGATTCTAACGTTGCTTCGCGGCACAACTTGCTGTTATAGTTTTGTCAGATCCAAAAACTGACATGTAGTATCTGCCGCAAGGTTTTGATATCAGTGTCGATTATTGATAATCACTATGACTACTGTTTTATCTGATTCTGGCTGAACCGAGTGGTTATTGAGGAAAAAGGAAGCTAGTCCTATGTGTGTTTGGAAAGAGAACATGACGAAGAATTTACGGTTTTCCGAGGGTGCCCAGTGCCTTGTTTCTAGCGTCAGCAGCGTAGACAACTGATCCTCTCTCTGAAAACAGTTAACGTCACTGGGTACATGTTGTTTTAAATCTTTTAAATTTTTTTTTTTAATTTTTATTTATTTCTAGGAGAGAGAGAGAGAGACAGCGTGAGCAGGGGAGGGTCAGAGAGAGAGGGAGACACAGACTCTGAAACAGGCTCCAGGCTCTGAGCTGGCAGTCAGCACAGAGCCCGACGCGGGGCTCGAACCCACGATCCACGAGATCATGACCTAAGCGAAAGTCGGACGCTTAACCGACTAAGCCACCCAGGCGCCCCTGTTTTAAATCTTTTAAAACGCACTTGCGCGGGATCAAGAAAGGAAGTAAGCACCAGAGGGCAGGCCCTGGGCGTGTGCTGGAGCACAGGCTGCGTCTCGTGAGAGGCCAGAGCCACCCGCTGCCCTCACGCAGGTTTGTGGCCCGAGCGTGCACCAAACGTGGTCGGTCCGAAAACCTGAGGCGGGGGGTTAAGACTCACATGACTCTAGGGAGATGGTGCCCTCATGCACGTGGCCCCCACGAGCCCCGGTTCCCAAAGGGACCTGCCTTCAACCCAGGCCTCAGGGAGCCCGACGGACCGTGTGCCGCACAGTACGGGCCACGGGGTGCAGAACTCGCTATAATGTGTGCTACCACGAGATTTTCAAGTTAATAGAAACGGATCACAAAGTGAATACCTAATTGTTTAAATAACTAAGAGGGATTGAAATTGTGAGAAAAGGAGTGACATAATATAGAAAGAACTAAGTAGATACAAGACAAAAAACAACAGAGCTTCTGAAACAAAAAACTTAAATGCTCTGTAGGTAAAACTAAAACTTCTGGTCTGTGACCAGACCTCCCCCCACCCCCCGCCCCCACATGACTTCTGGGCCCTCTCACCTGCTCCGGTCAGCTGCATGGCCCACCTCCTGCTGTGAGCCGCGCTTGCCTCCTGCATGACATTGGGGTTTAGTGTTCTAGAAGGGGGGCGGGGTCTTATCCTGCACCCCGAGCACCTAGAGCAGGTTCTGGTCTGGGATGTAGACTGAAGAGTCTGTGAAAATTGAGGAGAGAGGAAGGAATCTGCCCTTGAAAATTATTATTTTCTTCCACTTTTGGTCCAAGGCCCTGTACAGGTCCGTCGTCTTAAGCTGGTTTGTTCATTGTTAATCCTGCGTTAATTCTCTGTGTTTAACACATGGGTGGGTGTTAGCGGTATGATCCACGAACTAGCGAAGGGATATTACAACTGTACTGCTTTATATCCCGAGAAATGCAGAGGTATTGATGCAGATATGTAGTTACCACCAGGAATTGTGGTAGGAGACGGTAAAGCTGGTAACGTTGGGTGTGTTTCATTGATTAAAATTCCATGAGTTGTTTTCCCCGGAGCTGAATTTATGTTGTCCAGGCGCGTATCCACTGCCGCCCGGTAGATCAGTAACCTCTCACTTCATCCGAAACGCACCCCTCGCCTGTGTTTCCTTTGCAGGAGGCTTATTTGAATACGTGACCGCAGCCAACTACTTTGGGGAGGTGGTGGAGTGGTGCGGCTTCGGCCTGGCCAGCTGGTCCGTTCAAGGCGCAGCCTTCGCCGCCTTCACCTTCGGCATTTTACTCTCGCGAGCACAGCACCACCACCAGTAAGTTCTCAGGCGCCCTCGGCACTGGCGTCGCTTCCCCGGCCTCCCTCCAACAGTTTTCGGGCTCCACGTCTGGAATGTTAAAATGCACCTGAACTGCTCGACCCCAGCGTACACCTCGGGCTCGCGGACCAAGCGCAAAACCACGCGAACGTCCAAAGAATAACCTATTCTGAGGGACCCGTCAGGAACACGCCAGCATCAATATTTGCCCCACCCCTACCCTGAGCCTCTTTGCATTTTTGCTGCAGGGCCTGATAGTCAAGTGAGGTGTCACGCAGGGGACCCGCGCTCTGACCGGGAACGCACGGTTTGTGGTGGGGAATGCAGATTGCCAGCTCAAGGCACGGAGGGGCGGTGTGCTCAGAGGAGGCCCAGCCTAGCCGCGTGCCCAGCTCCTTCACACAAGCACCCTGCAGCCCCACCGTCCCTGTCGGGCTCCCGGGCTCTGTGCACCCCTGAAATCACACTGGTGTCCAGCGTGCGGGGCCGTAGCCGTTTTCCCATCCCCAGAAGGGCTTGTGACCATTTGACCAATATGAACTCACACAAAACAACCCAAGGCTGTTAAACCAAAGCAAACTTAGGGCTCACCTTCCTCATCCAACACGTGAAGAGTCTCAGGCTTCTCAGAAGGGAGAGATCTCGGGTGGGGGCGGGGGGCGCCTGGCGGGCTCAGTCGGTTGAGCGTCTGATTCTTGATTTCAGGTCATGATCCCAGGGTTGTGGGATTAAGCCCCACATCAGACTCTGTGCTGAGCATGGAGCCTGCTTGAGATTCTCTCTCTCTCTTTCTCTCCCTCTCTCTCCCCCCAACTTGGCCCCTCTTCCCTGTTCATGCTCTCTCTCTCCCAAAAAAACAGCAACAACAACAAAAAAGATAATAAGGGAGAGATTCCAGGCCTTCCCCGATGCCACAGCGATGATGAAACACGGCACAGGTGGCTCACCCTGGTGCCCACATTGATCGCTCATGCCCTCCAAGCTAGACGGGCCTCTGCCCCGCTTCCCTCGCTTCATTCACCCAAAAACATTTCCTGGAGGTCTCCGATGCTGGGAGGCATACGCAGAGATGTAATGTCCTGCTTCATGGCGTTTGTCATTGCTTGGGAACGAGGAAGAAGGGAAAAGCCAACAGAGGGATAGATTGATATATTGGCAAAGTGGAAAACACACAGACTTTTTAGAGTCCACGCTCACCACGTGTTTAAGGATGCCGAGGATTATTACCGGAGATAATGAAGAGAACAGGCAGAACTGGACTGTGTATTTAGCTAATATTCGTGGACATTACCCCAAAAGCATGAGTTACGAGATCGTACGAGCCCCACATTTTGAGGTGCTCCATTGTGGTCCATACAGTGAGGGGCCTGGGTGCCAGGACCCGTGTTCGTCCAGAGCTGCTGAGAAGGACGGGGCAGCAGAAGCCCACACCAGCGAGGGCGCAGGAGAGGGGATACACTGTCAAAAGTGGCAGAAAACAGGATGATTTGCTAGGATAGGTTGAGTTGTGTGTCCCTCCCCACCCCCACCCCCACCCCCCGCCAAAAATAGGTTGCCTTCCTAACCCCGCGGAAGTGACCTTATATGGCAATAGGGGCCGTCGCCGATATAATTAGTTAAGGTGAGGTCACACCACAGTAGCACTGGTGACTTTGCCAGGAGGGAAGCGGGGACACGCACACGAAGAAGGTCACGTGAAGACACACGTGGACAGCCGAGGGTGCGGTCCTTTGTTACAGAAGCCCCAGGAAAGGAGACACCAGCCCTTCAGCCATTTGGAATCAGTTGGGCCATAACTGGAGGCCATGGGTACGGTTTTGAAGCCTTCCTGCCTCCTCTGCAGAGGATTCCTCACAGGACGGGACATCTCTGGGTCTCATGCTCACTCACTATGCCTCTTTCGGGTGTGAAAGCAGCATCTCCTAGAAAAGTAACAGTGACCACGGCAGTCAGTGAATCTTGGCCCCGCCTGACCTTCCTGGGTTGCTGGGGACCTCTCCTCCCCTCCTCCCTCCTCCCCTTCTCTTCCCCCCCTTCTCCCCCTCCTCTTCCCTCTCTTCCCTTCCTTTTCTTCCACCTCCCCCTCCCCCCCCCACCGGTCTGGTAGGGACCCCTGAGACCAGCCTCTCTCCACTAGCATGGCCTCTGGAGGAAGATGCTATTCTTGAACACTTGTTACATTAGACAGTAGGAAGCAAATATAGGCTAGTTTCTAATAGTAGCAACGCATGAGATAATACTGATACTTTAAGAAACTGGATCAGAGGAAGATTGAAGGAGAGCATGCCAAGTCAGTTGTAAAGATGTTTCCCCACACGGAAACAGGAAACTCTCTCTTCAACATTTGGGTAAGAAATATATAGAAACAGAAATAAATCCTTTCATTTTTCAAATGAAAGTCTAGGGTAATAAAAGCCCAAATGTATTCTTGACAGAAAGCTTCATGAGTTGAAAGGGCTCGTTTTAATTCATTTGCTACTTATGTTGACATCAGTACAAAACCAATTTTAATTGCTGAAAAATTAATGAACTCAGTTTAGTGGAAGTATGTTCAGAAATGTCGGATTTATAAAGCTGATGACAGAATAAAAGCTATCCTTTTTTTTTAATAACCCAATTAACCTAGTTAATTAAACTAAGAAAAACAATCCACAGAGCCCTTCCGAGCACTGTGTTTGATTTATTATAACGTTCTCAAGGCAGCATTTTACTACAATGGATTTATTTCTATAAGTGGACGTGAAGGGTTTAAATTCACAGATAATATCCTAATAATTAAGCTCTAGGTCGGAAACCTTGGGTCAGTGTGCCGAGTTGCTAATAGGTATTCTGTGTTGAGGGCACAATGTCAAGGAATTGGGAACGACGGCCGTTCTCATGCCGTTCTCCTCCCCGCCAGCCCCCAGCAGCCACACTCATGAGTGGAATGACACGCATGGTGCCCATGTTTGTGTCACGCCCCACAAAGTGTGATTGCATAAGTGCAGCTGCTTGCTGTTCACCCCAAAATCCTGCAAGTTGGAGGCAAGCCATTGAGGACAGCCTCGGAGAAGAGACTCTGTTGAAATAAAAAACATATTGCAATGTTTCCCATTAAGTTTTTTTTAATTAAAAAAAATTTTTTTAAATGTTTATTTACTTTTGAGAGAAAGAGACAGAGGTGTGAGCAGGGAAGGGGCAGAGAGAGGGAGACACAGAATCGGAAGCAGGCTCCAGGCTCTGAGCTGTCAGCACGGAGCCCGACGCGGGGCTCAAACTCACAAACCATGAGATCATGACCTGAGTGGAAGTCGGACGCTTAACCAACCGAACCACCCAGGTGCCCCAGCCCATTAAATTTAATGTCACTTAGAAGAATGAAGTCAGTACATCTTCAAGACCCTATGACAGATGACATAATGACCTAAACAAGGACACACCCGAATATGTTTATGAAAGACTTTGTCCCTCACACAGCTCCCTTCACCCGACGTGATTACAGAAAACATGACTGGGAGCGCGGAGAGCACTTCCTGTCTTGTCAGTCGCCCGTGTCCAGCGAGGGAGACTCCTTCGAGAGGACCTCAGGGGCACATTGGCCATTTGGGAGCTGGAAAAGCAGTTGGTACTTTAAAGAATAATTTGAAGAATTAGCTGCGACTTAGGAGACGCCAAGTGTGTTGAAGTGGGTGTCCCTCCGTTGGGGCATCTCACTTTCAACCCTCGTTCAGGCTCAGCAGTAATAAAATCAAGACCAAAAATTCATGTCGGTGTCACCTAAGCGACAGCTTTGATTCAAGGCACAGAACAGCAAGGGAGAAAAAGTAGAAACCGTGCGGCCCTCCGTTTTAAAAAGATGGAACATTTTAAAAATGTTCGCACGTTTACACGTCTCAAGATGCAGTTTCTCGAGGTGGACTTGGGATCCCAGTGACGGAAGCGAATGAGGGAAGTTTAATCACTTTAACAAAGTAAGTTTTATTTCTACATAACGGTTCCCGTGAGACATTCGACACATCTGACACACCTGTCTTTATCGGGGAGAGGATTCTGATCCAGTCTACGGTCACGCAGAGCCAGCCGCCGCGCAGCCCTCCTCCTGACCACCCCGTAGGCGTGCGTGGGCATCGCTGCCCTGGTTTCGAGGATTTTGAGCGGCCTTTGCTGTGGGGCGCAGCGCCCGGCACTGCTGGCTGCTCGGGGCCTCGGAGGGAATCATGCTCACCATCCAGGCCCTGGGTCCTGGCAGGCGTGGTCCATCTGGCTTCTAAATAACATTTATTTCTCGCAGATCTAGAGGCCAGAAGTCTGGGGCCAGGGTGCCAGGACGGTGGGGTTCTGGGTTGTGGACGGCCCTCCTCTCTCTGTGCCCTCATGCGATGAAGCGCAGGGTAGCTCCTTTATCAGGACTGGAGGACAGGATCCCATTCCTCAAGGCTCCACCCTGATGACCTAATCACCTCCCAAAGTCCCCACCCCTAGTACCACCATTTCAGACTTTTTAGGCTTTTAACATGGATTTGAGGGGGCGGGGTACACGTACAGGTGGCTGCACAGCACGGCAGGCACTTTCCACAACCAGAGAGCATGTGGCCCCTTTTCCCGTAGGTGGCATCGCAGTTGTGAGCATCCCCCGCTGCGAGCTGGACGCCTGGTCCCCAGGCAGGTCCGGGCTGTGACTGGCCTCGCGGCAGAAGTGATGCTCGGTCCGGAGTCCACCCACCGGCTCCCCATTCCACGCCTTTCCGGCAGGCGGACGCACTGGGGTCCCGTTTGCAGGCGGCAGAGTGAAACTTACCCGAACCCAGCAGATTTTGCCGACTCCCTGTCTGTTCGCTGTTGTCACGTTTCTGCCCTGTAAACAAGTGGTCGCTTTCCACCATGACTTTTCGTCTGTTCGTCTCTTGTGCTCATGGAAGCTCCTTGTTTTCTGCCCATTCCTCCATGTCGTCAAGCTACTGTAAGTTTTCACTCCGTGCATTAGCTGCCGCCCTCCCCAGTCAGCCAGCACCGCGCACCTCGAAGCCTTGTTTAGCGTCATTCATACCAAACTGAAAATACCTGTTTGTTCCGCGCAGGGTCCCCATGCCGTTTCCCAGCTTCGTTTCAGAGCCCCCGTCCCCCACACCCCGGGCCTGGAGCAGGGTTCTCTCCTGGGGGAGATTTGCTGTGGGAATCGGTGGAATCGGTGCTCCAGCCCAGTCCCCGAGCTCCCCCGGGGTCTGCAGACACTGCCCCCGCCCCCCGCCCCCTTGCTGATCAGCACCTTCACACGCCCGTAACCTGCCTGGCCAACATGAGTACTGCGTTCGTGACACAAACCAAACCGTGTTCCTGAAATGGCGAAGTTTTTATCACTAGTTTTAGAAATCTCCCTTCTCCTGCCTGATGAAAAGTTGACACACCAGCACCTAGGAAATGTTTGAGTGACAAAATTATTTCCTTTTCTTAGTGTTGTGTTTTGTTTTGTTTTGTTTTTGTCTTAGGTGGTACCTTGAGAAATTTGAAGATTATCCAAAGTCCAGGAAAATTATAATCCCGTTTTTGTTGTAAGTGTGCTGTCGGTGGGACTGTCTGGGACTTGAAGCGTTTCCGTGATGTCTCCCTGGGGGCTGCGTAAATGGACTGCTCTTCTGTCATTGTCCTGCTGCTTCATCGTTTTCAAGAGTTGCTCCACGGATGCTTTCCTGGTAAATGTGTAAGTTGCCGAATACCAGGCTAATGAGACTGAACAGCAGGCCGAAGTAGCGGGCTGCACACCGGGTTGGGAATCCGCAACTCGGGGTCGTTCCAGCCACCATCTCTCTGACTCGGGGGTCCCCTCTTTGGGCTGGTACAAGACCATCCGTGATGGCCTCTATGGACTGAAACATGTCGCCGCCCCTGGTCCTACCCATTCCACCGTCAGTTCAAGGCCACAGGTGATGTTGCCTCCCCACAGATACAGGCAGCGCTATCTCCACGGCCCCGCTCACCCTGCTGGGTCACGAGGCTCTCACCGTGGGTGTGTGCAGCGGAGAGCATGGGGGCAGAGAAAGGAGACGCAGGATGCAGGTGAGGCCGGGACAGGAGGCCTCTGGCACCTGCTGCAGCCTGGCCCCCCGGGTGACTCCGCTGCAGAGGGGGTGCTGGGTGAGCTTGTGTAAGGGTCAGGCGCTCTGGCCCCCGCAGAGGGAGCCCCTCGTGCCGATCACCACAGGCATCAGTACTCCCTGGTTTAAGATGATTTCTCCTCCTGGGGCGCCTGGGTGGCTTAGTGGGTTAAGCAGCCGACTTTGGCTCAGGTCATGATCTCGCGGTCTGTGGGTTCAGGCACCACGTCGGGCTCTGTGCTGACAGCTAGCTCAGAGCCTGGAGCTGCTTCGGATTCTGTGTCTCTCTCTCTCTCTCTCTCTGACCCTCCCCTGCTCACACTGTCTCTCTTTTCCAGAAATAAATTAAAAACATTAAAAATAATAATAACAAAAAAATAAAAAAGGATTTCTTTAAAAAAAAAAGATTTCTCCTCCTTCCAGTTAGAATTAGCAGGCTGGAAAGCACTCTTTTCTCAGTACCCTCAGTACCCTCAGTACCCTCAGTATTCCAAAACTGTCTCTAGGCAGGAGGTCTTACTCTAGGTAAGAGCAGGGGAGGAGGGGGAGGAGGCTGTTCACTGTGATGGCTGACCTGCTGGTCAGCCACCCCCCATGGGCTCCTGCACCCCCTCCCACTGACCTTACCAGCCACGGTCTCGCTCCCTCTCGAGGTTGTGCGTAGAGGCCGTCCTCTGGGGCTAGTGATTTGGAGAGCCTCGCCTGGTGTCAGAATTACACAGCTGACCTTCCGGATGCAGCTACGCTTCGTTGTAACTGGGAACAGAACGTTTTTGAAGGGAAATGTCGGTATTCGGTGCACTTCGTTCCTTTTCCTGACCCTTTTCCAAATACTTGAAAATGTGAAGCAATAAATGTTTTGGATCTCCTCGGAAAAACTCAAAAGTCCGGGCAAGTCACGATGGATTTGGGCCGCGGAGTTCTGGAAGGCGCACCCAGCCGGGAGAAGGATGCGTCTCAGAGCCAGAGAATCTCACTGTGGTTTGTACTCCTTTATGTGAACGGCCCTCACGATGCTCACCTGGGGTAACGCGGCCCTGAGGCGTGGTTACTGCTCTCACCCACCCTCCAGGTGGACGATTAATAGGAACGAATCCTCTTCTATCTTGTCTCCCCTCCCTCCCTCCATTTCCTAAACTGTCACTTAACAAATTGTCACCAATTACTGTGCGAATCATAAAAGGGAGATTAATAAAATTACTTCAAGTCCAGTCATTTCGTCTCAGGGTTACTGCACTCTCTCGGCACGTCTTCACAGATTCACATCGTATCGTTGTCCTGAGCCTGGGCACCTGCATCCCCCCCCCCCGGCCCCCGATGTCCCCGTCCTGCTTCCCCCCCCGCCCCCCGATGTCCCCATTCCATCATGTCAGACATGACGACGTGTCTCCAGTCCTCAGCGGAGCTGTGTAACGCTCTTCATGTAAATGTGCATGCCTGTTCAGGTTGTTCTGAGGTATTTGATGGTTTGTTAATGGCGGATGAGAATGCGTCGCCAAGTACGTTTTACAGCGAGGGTAAATGAGCGCCATCGACGTGGGCATGTCCGGCCTCCCTGGTGGTAATCTGTGTGTCCCTCCGTTTTCTCCGTTAAGCCCAGCTCTGGGGCTTCACAGTCCTACTGTCCACAAACACGTCAGGTTCTTGTTTGGCGATGCCTTTGCTGTCATTTGCTTCCTATGGTAACAAGTTCAAGAACGATGCTGAATAATAAAGGTGATTGTCAGGATTCTTGTGCGGTTTTAACAGGACTGCCTTACTGTTTGGAAGGTTCCTTTTATTTTCTTACGTGGCCATCGGTTTGTTTCCTCCTTGAGCCAGTGGAATCATTTCTTTGCTTTTAAAAAAAGGCTACAGTATTTCTTTTGAGATTTTCCAAGGGACTCCGTACAGATCAGAAAGGAGAGAGAGGGTTTTCTGTCTGGTGCACAGGGGAACTGAGAACACGCCCGCCCACAGGGGATACTGACCTTGTGGGTTATCTTCATTAGGCATTCTCAGTGTGTCCTTTGTTGTGGTGAGTTCCTCCGTATCTCCTAACTTCATGTCTGCGTGTCTTCACTGTTCTGATTTAGGAGAAGTCTTTCCATTGTACTCGTAACAGCTCATGCTCTATTTGCCCAGCGGGTATATTGGTAGTTTTTAAGGCTGTGTGTTTCTGCTACGGAACACTGACCGACCACACTTCCTAGGGTTGTTTTGTTTTTTTTTAAGAAATTAAGTTATTTTTTTAGACAGAGAAGGAAAAAGACAGAGTGTGAGTGGGGGAGGGTCAGAGAGAGAGGGAGACACAGAATCCGAAACCGGCTCCAGGCTCTGAGCTGTCAGCACAGAGCCCGACACGGGGCTCGAACTCACAAACCGTGAGATCGTGACTTGAGCCGAAGTCGGCCATTTAACTGACCGAGCCACCCGGGCGCCCCTGCACTTCCTAGAATTGAATGACCTTCCTGTAATTATGCGCCTAGATATCTCCAGCTGTACTTCTTAGGTTTGCCTTGATCTCAATATTTCTAGGAAATTCATTTTTGTTTGAAACAGTGCTTTTTTCCTTTCAACCATTTGAGGGATTTCATGGAAAGGTTTTTGTTCTTTTTCACACGTGTGGACGCAGTAGAGATCATTTTCTGTGAAATCTCTCCTGCGCAGATTTCCAGTTTTCCTTTGTAGCCTCAAGCCCTTTATAACAGCACCAAGGCCATTGTCTAAAGCTGATGCTGCGTGTGCTACAGTTTGTTAACGCAGAGATATTAATCACGTTGCTAACATTCTCTGCAGCCTTGTTTTTCTTCCATGTCAAATTTACCTTGTATGTCTAAGGGGTTTTCCTTTGTGGTTTGATGCTGGCCCTCTGCACAACTTTCCATCTACACTGCTATCAGTGTGACATAGTCTTCCTGCAGGGACCCGGCTGGGATGAGAACACTACCACTCTGCTGCTGTCGTCGACAGATCCACCGGCACCCTGGCCTGTCCGAGCACTCAGATGCCGTTAGTTGAGTCGTCTTTCACAACACGAGAAACAGACTTGACCTTTGAATTAGCCGGCTCAAATCCCCTCACAGACTGCTACACCGAAATGTCCTTTTACCGTGTTTTCTATGTTTAGTATCTGTAACTTCCTTTTTAAAAAAATTTACGTGGTGATTTAGAAAAATATTTCCTTTAAAAAAAACAAAAAAGCAACTGGGCACCAGGGTGGCTTAGTCGGTTAAGCATCTGACTCTTGGTTCCGGCTCAGGTCATGATCTCACTGGTAATGGATTCAAGCCTCACATCAGGCTAGCCTGTTTGGGATTCCCTCCCTCTCTCCCTCCCTGTCTCTCTCTCTCTCTCTCCCTCCCCTGCTCCTCCCCCACTCATGTTCACACTCCTATTCTCTCTCCAAATAAATAAATAAACTTTTAAAAAAGGCAACATTAGGAACGGTTTTTATATTTTTAGGAGTACATTTAAAATCTCCCAGTTCCGGGGCACCTGGGTGGCTCAGTCGGTTAAGCATCTGACTTCCACTCAGGTCACCATCTTGCGGTTCATGGGCTCGAGCCCCATATGAGGGAGGCTCTGTGCTGACAGCTCAGAGCCTGGAGCTGCTTCAGATTCTGTGTCTCCCTCTCTCTCTCTGCTCCCCCCCTGCTCATACTCTGTCTCTTTCTCAAAAGTAAATAAAGATTAATAAGGGGCTCCTGGGGGGCTCAGTCAGTTAAGCATCTGACTTCAGCTCAGGTCATGATCTCGCAGTGCACGAGTCTGAGCCCCACATCAGGCTCTGTGCTGACAGCTGGGAGCCCGGAGCCCGTTTCGGATGCTGTGTCTCCCTCTCTCTGTGCTCCTCCCCCACTCATGCTCTGTCTCTCTCCCAAAAATAAATAAAAATATTTTAAAAATTTAAAAAACAAGATTAATAAAAGATTTTTTTTAAACCTCCCAATTCGATATGATGCGCTGAACACAGGCCTCTCCTCCCCCTGCCGACCCTGAGCCCTTAGGATCACAGTGAAGGAATCTGAGGGCCCAGGGCCGGGGGGCTGTGGCGCTGGGGAGCCCGGCGCGGGCCCTGCTAGATGCAGGTCCCCTTGCAGCTGACAGAAGGGAGCGGGGCAGCGCGTCCCCGGAAGTGAGGCCCCGGACTCGACTCGGAGCCGACAGCAGTGCCCTGTGCGCTCTTGCTCCCCACAAGCAGCACGGGAGCCCGGGAGCTGGGTGCCCGTTTCCGGGAAAACGCGGTGGGAGCCGGGTCGGGGAAGGAGCTAAGTAGGAGCCAGCTGAGCGGGGAGAGCCGGGGGAGGCGCGTGTCGGCGTCCCAGGGGAAATGGCATCCGCATTTTGGTCCTTAGGACCCGCCAGTGGAGTAGCTGTCCGCCTTCCGCCCTGCGTTGCACGAGGGAGCCCCGGGGAGGCGCGGTCCCCGCAGTCGCAGGCCCCCACTCAGGGCTTCTGGAGCTTTTGCAGAAATGCGCCCCGATGGTCAGGGAGCACCAGATACTCAAAAGAGCCTACACAAGGAAGAACAGCGAATGCCTCTGAAGGAAGCGTCATTCCAGGAGCAAAAGGGAAATGTTTCAGAAAAAATTGCAGCATCAGGGAGATTGGGCCTCGGCAGGTAAGTGGACAGAGGGACGCGGGGCCCTGGGATGTGACCCAGCGATGCTCAGGAATAGACCACCGGTGTGCTTGACAAACCGAATATCTGATACGAGTTCTGCATCCAAATACACAAAGCACTCTCACATTTCAACAATGCAAAATTTAGAACAATCTTCATGGGCAAAAGATTTGAACAGACTCTTCACCAAAGAATACATACAAACGGTAGGCAAGTAAGTGCAAAGATGCTTACTGCCTCTAGTCATTAGGGAAAACGCCAATCACACCACACTGCCCATCTCTTAGAATAACTAAAATCAAAGCAAATGACCAACGAAGGCTTGGCAAGGATGCAGAGGCTCTGAAATGTGAGATGGTGAAAACACTCTGGCAGTTTCTTTAAAAGTTAGACATACACTTGCTGTATGACCCAAATATTTCACTCCTAGGTAATTTCCCAAGAGAAATGAAAGCATATATCTATACAGAGACATTTACATGAATGTTCATGGTGGCTTTATTTCCAACAGCCAAAAACTGGAAACAACCCAACTGTCCGTGAGCAGGTGAGTGACTAA